AGAGAGAGAGAGAGAGAGACATGCATTGCCCCTTTAGGTACACTGACCCCACTCTAAGGGTATGTCTACACTGGAAACTTCAAAGCACTGCCGTGGGAATGCTCCCCCAGCAGCGCTTTGAACTGTGAGTGTGGTCGCACACGAGTGCTGGGAGAGAGCTCTCTCAGTGCTCCTGGTAATCCACCTCCAGACTTGCTGCGCTCAAAGGGGTGATTTTTCATACCCCTGAGCCAGCAAGTTAGAGCATTATAAAATGTAAGTGTAGACAAGCCCTAAGTAGATCAGCAAGTTGAGACAGCAGCTGCTGCCCGAAAGCTCCCTCCATCCTGAGACCTGTCATGTTCCCCCCGCTCCCTGCTCTGTGGAGGTGGGGGGAGGACACCCTGACATTAGCTCCCTTCATTCCCCCCCATCCATCCCCTTCCCCCCCACCACACACACAGCAAGCAGAAAGCTCCTGGGAGCAGCTCCAAAGCAGATGGCAGGAGCAGCACATGGCAATGGGGGGAGGGACAACTGAACTGCCCGGCAATTGATAGCCTGCTGGGCAGCTGCCACACAGGGAACTTAGAGGAGCTGATAGGGGGGGCTGCCAGTCCACCCTGGTTCCAAGCTCCCACCAGCTAGCTTCTACCGGCTGCTCTTTCTGCAAGCAGTGGACAAAGCAGGCGGCTGCCAAACAACGTTATAAACGAGCATGTTCTCTAATTGATCAGCAATGTAACAATGAAACAACGTTAACCGGGATTACGTTAAGTGAGGAGTTACTGTATTAGAAATTAAGAAAGTAGAGAGAAGGGCAACAAAAATGATTTAGGGTATGGAACAGCTTCCATATGAGGAGAGATTAAAAAGACGGACTGTTCAGTTTGGAAAAGAGACAGCTAAGGAGAGGTAGGCTAGAGGTCTATAAAATCACAAATGGCGTGGAGAAAGTGAATAAGGAAGTGTTATTTACCTATTCAGTTAATACTAGGGTGACCAGATATCCCAATTTTATAGGGACAGTCCCGATTTTGGGGATTTTTTCTTATATAGGCACCTAATACCCCCCCACCCCCTGTCCCGATTTCTTACACTTGCTGTCTGGTCACCTAGTTAACACAAGAACCAGGGATCACCCAATGAAATTAATAGGCAGCAGGTTTAAAACAAATGTAAGGAAGTATTTCTTCACACAACGCACAGCAACCTGTGGAACTCATTGCCAGGGGATGTTGTGAAGGCCAAAACTATAACTGGGTTCAAAAAAGAATTAGATAAGCTCATGGAGGATAGGTCCATTAATGGCTGTTAGCCAAGATGGTTAGGGATGCAACCCCATGCTCTGGATGTTCCAAAGCATCTGGCTGGCAAATACAGGGACTGGATAAGAGGGGATGGATTAATAATTGCCCTGGTCTATTTATTCCCTATGAAGCACCTAGCATTGGCCACTTCAGAAGACAGGATCCTGGGCTAGAAGGACCATTGATCTGACCCAGTATGGCAATTCTTATATTAACTCAATTGATAGGGCCATCTGTTCAATGATGTCTTCAAAGTATGTCTTTACTTACACCTGTACTACCCTACTCCTGTGCAATCCAGTCCATAACTGAGGACAGTGAGACTATACAGATGTAACTGAAGGCAGAATTTGGCCTGCAGAAACTTTTATTACTGAAGATGATGCACAAACCAGAAA